GGAAGCCGCTCTCGAGCGCGCCGTGGGGACCCGCGGACGACTCTCAGACTGCCTCTCGAGTGTGTTAACCCTTCGCGGAGGAGGCGGGCTTCGCGTCATGCTACGTCGTATGCGGGTTTCGGTCGAACGCGAATGTTTTATCGTATTACGTATTGGGAATGTGGTCGGGCTCACCGGCGCTGGCTCGCATCGAAATCGCGATTCGATCGGACCGTGCGAGTGTTTCTTTGAATAATAAGAAAAAGCGACTAAGGGACTCGGTTCCTCGCGTCGATGCACGGTTTTGGGTCGAGTATGGATATTTTATTAGCCTACTGGTAAATTTAGTCGAAGCGAGGCTGCTCGTCGAGCATACGGCAAACAGGGTGAGTCGAATGCAAAGCACTTTTTCGGTATTCTTAAGGGGCCTTTCTACTTTGTAGGATTTAAAAAAACGAATTTTTTTTTGCGTTTTCTTTTAATATGTAGTCTCGAAAATATGTCTACCAAATATTAAATTGAAATTTGAAAAATTAACGAAGTTATAGCCTGCTGTAATGTACCATGCGCAGGTATAACTGGACGTAAAATTTTAAGTTGCCTTTCTACTTTGTGGGATTAAAAAAATTGAATTTTTTTTTGCGTTTTCTTTTAATATGTAGTCTCGAAAGTATATCTACCAAATATTAAATTGAAATTCGGAAATAACAACTGGACGTGAAACTTTAAAGCTGCTTTTCTCGAAACTACATTTTTCGGCACTGTGTATGTGATAACAAAAAAACTATTCAAGATATCAACATGAAATTTATACAGTATCTTTAGAACTGGTCTCCATATAGCATGAACTAGGATAGTTGCGATGTATGCAATACTTTTTTTTTTATTAACAAAAAAGCAACCGAATATATGAAAATATTCAGTATTTTTTCGTAAAATAGCTGCCATTTTGCCATTTTTTGTTTTTTTGAAGAGATCCTACTTTGATGGCAGTGCATACTCTCAAACATAGTTGCTTTCAAAAAAGGTCGTGTCACGGTGTTCATGTTTCCAGTGGTTCAAACCGTGAAAGATTCTTGATTGATATGAATTTGACTATAGCCAGCAGCAAAACAAAAGCAAAAAGTCGATAATTAAAAAACTGTCAACACTTTGATGTTTGGTTCTCGATTTTTTCATGTTTTTTTTTAATTTTGGGTACCTAAAAAAAGATAGAAAATAAAAATTGTGTCCCTTTCGATACGAACTATAGTCATACTGAATGTAAAATTTTAAACCTAAAATTTTAAACTAATTAGTCAAATAGATTTTGAGATATCATGGACACTGTTCTGGTAAACATAGTTTCGAAAAAAAGGTTTTAAAATATTGTACCCCTATAACAAGGACGTTGACTTAACATAACTTCATTAATTTTATAAGTTCATGCACAAGGTTTTGCAAATATATTTTTAAAAAATTATAAAAAAAAGAAATCGATTTTTTGAAAGGTTCACAGAAGAATACCCCCTTAATAATTCATTTTTCTACATAGTTTCCGCTAACAATTTACACATTCGCTGTTATGGTGGTCCCCGGTGCTTCAAAATGATTTACAATGAAAAAATCCTTTGTTTTTTTAACATAAACAATTGTTAGGGACATCTGTAAACGCAGGAAACTTGCAGTCAACTTGTTAATAAGAGGTCTTGCTACCGGATTGGCAGCTTTCGTATTCCAAGTGTCGCAAAAAGTAGTATTGCACCTTATACTCATCCTAGTATGTTAGAAAGTTTATTCTGTCCCGGAGTCTCGCGTATCGAAGTTTAACGGATATCTGTGCCACGAGGAACCGTTAGAAAAGTTTTCGTACTAATGGTTCCTCGAAACTGGTCTTCTAATACCTTACATATAAAGCACCCCGTCGTTCGATCAATCCACACAACCTCGGACGGAGAACAATGGCACCCTGAAAGGAATCATACTTCTCGACATTTTCCTCGTCAGTGAATGAACGAGAATCGTGTTCTAGCGCGAGCAGTCCGCAAACAATGGCGCGAACTTCCCTCAACGTTCTACGTTCAGCTACCAGACGTACAACTTCCGCTCCTGGAATTCGAGTAGAATCAACGTAATTCGTCTTTTGTGATAAACTCGATAGTATCCCATCACCGGATCGTTAGAATTTCCATCTTACAACGTTATTATTTATCCATGCACGAGTGTATCCCATCGAGTACGATAATAGTCTCACGAAAAGTTACTTGGTATCTGGACGATGTGTCTATGAATATAGATTGGGGTAAATAAACCAGTATATACACCTAGCTTGAGTACATTTAATATTATCTTACGTAGAAATATATTATTTGATGTTATATTGCATTTAATATTATTTTATTTTATTCGATATACAAATTTGTATTTTAGAGTCACTTGTAGTTAAATATCATATTTACTTCAAACATATATCCATATCTCTACACTCCAACGTCAAACTTTTTAGAAAAAGTTTGGACACCTCTGGAAGAAATTTTAATGGGAGATTATAGAGGTCAAAATAAGACAAAAATCAAGGATACTAATTTGTTGATTGAGTCTTCATTAAAAAGTTATTAACGTTTAAAGTTCCGCTTGTAGAACCATTATCATGCGCACGCAGCTACTCGCAGATTACCGTTCTATAGGCGGAACATTAAACGTAAATAACTGTTTAACGAAGCCTCAATCAACAAATTGATATTCTTGATTTTCGTCTTATTTTGGTCTCTAGAATCTCCCATTAAAATTTTTCCCAGAGATGACTAAACACCCTCTTTAGTAATCAAACTGTTAATTAGAATATCTATGTATTCGTATCTTAACATCAGATTCGACATAAATTGCTAACAAATAACGAGTCCCATAAATCAAAACAGACGCCATCGCAATTTCGTGGCTACAATACGTGTGGGTTTCCCCTGACCGTCGTAAAATTTAGTCAAAAGAATTCAAGAATCGAAACATATAAAGGCATGGAAGATACGCGTAGATCGAGTAGATAATTTACTGCGACAGTTTGCGATGTTCACCACTTTGTGGCGTATGCGTGGCGGCGGGCAGGATAATGAGACCGTTGCAGAAGTCCAACGACGTATGTAAATGCGGACGCAGGCTCGATTGTCTCCACCTACGAGTAGCAGACTTCTCGTACCGTTGGCAGTCTTCAGGGTTTCCTGGAAGTGGCTAGTAAATTGCGTCGCCCTCCTTTCGATTAGCCTGTAACTCGATTTATACGCTGCTTAACCCGAGCCTTTCCTCCGCCTTATTCGGGATTCTAGCTCACCAGTAAAGATGTATAATTTATGCCCCCCCCTGTATAGAGCCGCCTGTTCGAGGCGTCGTTAGCACGTTTGCGATCGGTGAATTGAGACGTGGACTTTTTATTGTCGCTATTAAAAAACTGTTATATGGGGTGAAATAGTGAGGGGTCACACTGGTTACCTAACTCATTCACTGTGACAGATTAGATATTAAACAAAATAAATAGTGGGTATGCTAGTTTCCAATTATCTAAAAGCAAAGTTTTCGTGGTCGATTTTAGGGGTTTGTCTCGACAGAAAAAGTATCAATCGATGAATAATATAATCCTGTACCGATCTACCGATGAAGAATACATAACGCAACATTCGCAAAGAGCAGCGCAAGACACTGTGCTGCACCTATCACAAAGCAACGTGGATCACAATAGCGCCCTATCAGAGAACGACACGGTGTTCGTCGTTAGGAACGAAAATCGATGAAAAGAGGAAGCAGAGAAAACGAGTATCGTCGATTTCTTTCGTGCTGTACACGTTCGTAGCTCATTGAACGGCGCATTGTTCGCGACGTTTCAGTGGGCCACGATCGAAGGTTCTCGTGGCCCGTCGTTGCAGAATTTGCTTTAATGAAAACGATCATGGAGATCCGACGATTTATTTCCCCATGAAAGCGTCGACTACCTCGACTTAACTCTGAGGTCCTCATTGTCCGGCTCCGCCAATTAATGGTCCTCGACGGAACGAGCAATAAGAGGAAATAAAAATGCAATGAAAGGTTTTATTGGCTATCATTGGCTGGCTACTGGATGCTGCACTCGCTCTCCGCGCGCCCTCGCACACCAAAACGTTCCATTGTTCTTTGCAACGGCCAAACGGTCGCGCCAGCCCCGACTGATGAGAAACCGGTGACTTACGACGAAAGAACTAGGCGAAGAATTATGGTAGAGCTGCCGCGATTGATTACCATCGGTTGAACGTATTCACCAGACCGTTTTAGCGTCTCTTCCGCCGACAACGAGACGATTCGAATAATTTAACGGTCGCGTATTAAAAATGAACATCGAAGATCTCGGTATTCGGACGTTATTCCAAATTTAAATTCGTCAGGTTGTTCGACACGATGTTTCGTTGCTCGCTTATTAATATTATACTGTTACGTCCGATTATTTCGGACGCCGCGTTTCCTGTGTTGGACACGAACGAGTTTATATCTGATCTAACGACACGTGACAGTATTTAATGAGTAATCATACGCGATATGCGTCGCTGTTAGTGACCGTACGTGATCGTATGCATCATACCAGACTGTTGTTATCATTACTATTTTTACACCGACGTACCAAGACTCTACCGTTCGATGAACGGTATCGAACTACAGTCGATCCTCGTCGTTTCAATTTCCCAACACGCGAACGACACATGTGTCATCTCGAAACACCGATTTCCATACTAAATCTGAAATTATCCACATTTAAGAAGTCGATGAACCCGTTGAAAGCACCAAAGCTCAAGCTTCTCATTTAATTTTAATACAAAGAATCGAACGCTATAAAATTAATTAATGGAACTACCCCAACCCTTATAGTATCCTCCACCTAACAGAAGAACTTTACACTGATTTTTTATTTGATTGAAGGTTACAGTAAAAAGAATTGAGTTTCTCCCGTAAATTGCATCACGACATCCCTAAATGTTAAAAATGTATTAGGATGAATCTAACACGCGTGAACTGTTTGTTTGCAGGCTGGTCAGCATGATATGATAGCAGCGACCCAAGCAATCTCCCCTGAAAGATGAAGAATCCTTACCTGCTCGCGTGCTTCCTGCTGCTGCCTCTGGTGCTGGGGCTGACCCTGCAGGAGGACGATCTGGTGTTCGACGACATCGGCGAAGACAGCTCCAGCTCCAGCACCGCGGCCACCGTGAACAGTCGTCGTTTCGACCTGGCGTTCGACGATGTCGGCGAAGACGGCGCCAGCACAGCGGCCACCGCGATCAATCGTCGATTCAACGACCTGAGAACGAGCTGGCGTGACCATAAACGGCCGTACGACACCGACAAGCACCAGGTCGAGAGGCTGTGGGGCGTGCCCCACGTCGTGGTCCCGGTCGGCCACGTACTCAAGCTGAGGATCCCCCAGCAACCTTTCACCGAACCCGCGGATTATTATCAGGTGAAAAGACTTCACTCGATATCGTACACTTCTAGACGTCCCATAGTGAACGAACACGATCGAGTTTGTGTCAAAATCATTGAACTTTCAACTGAAATCAAAGTAGTCAAAGAAAAGTATCAAAGTAATTAAGGTTTGATCAAGTTTGAGCCTTGTATAATACTTTCAAAACACGTTGGACTGGAGTTTGTGTCAAAATCGTTAAACTTTCAACAGAAATCAAACTAGTCAAAGAAAAGTATCAAAAGAATTAAGGTTTTATCAAGTTTGAGTCTTGTATGATACTTTCAAGACACGTTGGACCATTAGAAATTACATCAAACATTTTCTTAGAAGTTTGTCGTTGAATAGAAATCAAAGTAACCAAAGAAAACTATGATGCTTTTAAGAAACATTAGACCATTAGAAACTACATCAAACATTTCCTTAGAAGTTAGTCATTGAATAGAAATCAGAGTAACTAAAGAAAACTATCAGAAAAACTAACGTTTGTCCAAGTTTGAACCTTGTTTGGTCGTAGCTTGCTTCTTCACGTGTTATGATGCATTAAAAAAATGTTGGATCATTAGAAACTACATCAATAATTTCCTCAGAAGTTTGTTGTTGAACAGGAATCAAAGTAACCCTATCAAACTATCAGAAGAACTGAGGTTTGATCAAGTTTGAGCCTTGTATGATGCTTTAAAAAAATGTTGGACCGTTATAAACTATATTGAACATTTCCTCAGAAGTTAGTCGTTCAATAGGAATCAAAGTAACTCTAGAAAACTATTAGAAAAACCGAAGTTTGATAAAGTTTGAGCTTTGTATGGCCATAGCTTGCACCTTCGCATGTTATGATGCTTTAAATAAATATTGGACCATTAGAAACTATATTAAACATTTTCTCAGAAGTTTGTCGTTGACTATAGATCATAGTAACCAAATAAAATCGTCAGAAGAACCAACATTTGATCAAGTTTGAGCCTTGTTTGTTCAAAGCTTACTTGAAAGGCACCATCGAGATCATTGAGCCATTTTCCCATATTATGATGCATTTAAAAAACGTTGAATCATTGGATCAACTATATTAAATGTTTCCTTAAAAGTTTGTCGTTCAAAACTCAACACAACTATCAAATCTTGGACCAGAGAAACAGTTTGCTCCAGTTACTAGAATTGCCCTACATGATACTGATGAGTCCCAATGGACAAACACAGAGCCAAGCATTTGATATAAATGCAAATTATCGATAATCTGAATCTACATAGTGACCTCAAGATAGCAATCTTGCATCGTATTATCTTCTCCAATTAATACTCGGTGCTAGTCATCTATTCTGAGAAATGCAAATTGCAACAACAAGCCTTGAAACTGTTTCCTCGGTCATCCCTGCCTCTCGACTCGAATCTTGCAAACTTCTTCAACTACTTCATCGTAGTACATAAAAGAATCAACGAGATATACCCTGCACTGTAGATAATTCAGCTTGTTACTTCCGTTGAGTTTATATGCCAATGTTCGCCCCTAACGCTGCTGGAAATCAGCCTTAAAAATTACCGAAGAACTGCTGTAGAACTCTTCGACGCGGCAGAAGTTGTTCGCGAAGTTGTACACTCCGTGGAAAGTGAAAAATCGAGGAAAAGAATAAGTTCTTGTTAAGGGCGTCTATTTCGGTAGGAAAGGAGCACAGCGAGATGCTTTGTTTAACCGAGTGGCTGGGACAACAAGTAGTTCAATGCACCCTAATTTGTCGGACGCCGGGCGGCAGGAAGGGGCGAGAAGATTCCAGAGTTCCGTTTCGAGCGAATTCTGGACCGTCGCCAGATTTCGTACCTTGATCCTTCCCGGTGAACGTTGCAGGACGTACGTACTGTCTTTCATTTGCCTCCTTTTGTCGGCGGTGCCAACGTCGCTTCGAGAGTCTATATTCGTGATTCAATTTGTCTTGGGCGCCACCGCAGTATAACCGGAAATCCGTTTGACTTTTACACGTTCCGTCCTGCATTTTATCCCGGGAAACCTGGGCTACGTGCCTCGGGGCACAATGGAGGAAAGGAACCCGTAGTAAAAGCGAATGCAAAATCAGTCATTTTTCACCTGTTTTATGGTCCCGGCCATTTTGGAACTAAATCGAGACACCTGGGGAGTTTTTAAACTGGGCTGAAAATTGATTTTAGAGAATTGGAGTAGATCAAAAATACGAATTTTTATGTTAGAGAATAATTTGAGGGAAGGTATTTTTTTTTAGAGAGAGAGGGGAAAATTAATCTTTTTTTGATGCTATTGATTTCTAGAAAGCAAAAGATTTGAAGTGTATTAATATTGTTTGAAACTTCGAGTGAAGTTCAACGACTATTTGAGTTTAGAATAAGTAATGTATGACCACTGGCATCCGATAACTTGATAAACCAATAAATGTCGTACTGATCCCACTCTGTCAAGTTTAACTTGTGGAAGCGATGAAAAAGAAGCCAGAGAAATAGACATCGTCGACTATACATAGTGTAACCGCAAAAAACGACTGGCAATTGGATTATAGTACATTAGAATGTTTATTGCAATCGCTTTATCGTGGTACAGTAGAATTCATAAACTCTGTTCATTCAAGTGGATCATAATATCATGCATAAAAAGGCATATTCATGATACTAGATTATAGTAAATTATTGGAAGTCACAAATTATATTAATTGGCATAGCTGAGTAGATGATAGATTACAAGTAGTACAGTAGAATTCATAAACTCTATTCATCCAAGTGGATCACAATATCATGCATAAAGAGACATTCACAACAGTAGATTATAGTGAATTAGTGCAAATCACAAATTATAATATATTAATACACAAAACTGAGTAGCTGATAAATCACAACTAGTGCAGTAGAATTCATAAACTCTGTTCATCCAAGTGGATCACAATATCATGCATAAAAAGACATATTCACAATAGTAGGTTATAGTAAATTAGCGGAAGTCACAAATTATATTAATTTACAAAACTCAATAGCTGATAGATCACAAGTAAATCATAATACTGATTTATTATGAATTAGTAAGTGTTACAAATCTATTTTTTTTAAAAAGAATGTAAATTACTAGTGGATTACAACATTTAATTAACAATCACAATCGACATGAATTATAAATAATATTTCCTAATAAAACGATACTTTTAGATCACGAGTAAATGACAAATGTAAGATATAAAAGAGCATTAAATGGATCTCGAAAGTATCACAAAACAAGTATTGACCACAACTGTACATTCACAATATAACATCTTAGATTCCTAATATGTTCATAAAACAATGTATACATTACTTTTAAATCATGAGTATACGACAAACTTTATAAGATATAAAGAATCACAAAATGGGTCACAAAAGAATCATATAACAAGTATCGATCACAATTTTACATTCACGATATAACACCCTGGATTCCTAATGTTCATAAAACGATGAATACATTACTTTTAGATCACGAATAAACGACAAGCTGTGTAAGATATGAAGGTTCACAAAATGGGTCTCAAAATGGGTCTTACAATTCTATATTGACAACTTAACATCCTAGACTCCAAATACGTTCATGAAATGATGTATACATTATGTTTAGATCACGAGTTAACGACAAACTTTATAAGATATAGGGGATCACAAAATGGGCCTCAGAAGTATCATAAAACAAGTATCAATCACAATTTTATATTCACAATGTAGCATCTTAGATTCCTAATATGTTCATGAAACGATATGTTCAGAAAACGTCGCTTTTAGATCATGAGTAAACGACAGACTTTATAAGATATAAGGGACCACAAATTGGGCCTCAAAACTATCATAAAACAAGTATCAATCACAATTCTATATTCACAATATAACATCTTAAATTCCTAATATGTTCATAAAACGATGGATACATCACTTTTAGATCATGAGTAAACGACAAAATTTGTGAAACATGAAGTATCACAAAATAGATCTCGAAAATATCACAAAAAATATCAATCACAATTCTATATTCACAATGTAGCACTTTAGATTCTTAATATGTTCATAAAACTATGGATACGTCGCTTTTAGATCACGAATAAACGACAAACGTTGTGAAACATGAAGTATCACAAAATGGATCTCGAAAATATCACAAAAAATGTATTGATCACAATTTTATATTCACAATATAAAATCTTAAATTCCTAATATGTTGACGAAGACAAGGATGTATCTATTGTTAAATTAATTTTGTCTGTTGTGATTTGTGATGTTGAAAAATAGCTGGTAGACTCGAATGGAAAACAGCTGACGCGATGGCTGTACTGGGACGACGCGGCGTCGACCCTGTTGGGCGTGCCGTCGAAAAAGGACGTGGGTAGTCATCGGTTGAGCATCAAGGCCATCGGAATGCACGGGGAGACCGTGAAGGACCTGTTCGTCGTGCAGGTCGTTCCCGAGAAGCACGAGGAACTGAAGCACAGGGATGGAAAGGTGAGGTCCTTATCTCTGGCCCGAGCCGAGATATCGCCGCGAGTTTGTCGTTAGCGGTGAAAACATTCCGTTGGCAACGGTTCAAGTGTTTCCTGAACGAACAACAGGTACCTCCGACTTGGCTTTCCAAGGATTAATTGCACGGATCGATAACCTGTTGTTGAATCCAGTACTTTCTCGGTAGACGACTGGTCAGAAACCTCCGGAAACTTTTCGAAAACATCGCCATTAATCCCTTGACTCGAAGACTAAAAAATCCACAGAACAACAAATGTACTTTATCCACGATAAAACAAAAAATAAGTCGACAATTTATTCGTAGTATTATCTGTTTCTGAAGAACATTAGAAATTGAAACGGTTTCTTAAATCTGATAAAATTGATCTAAATTTAAAAAAAAAATCCATAAAAATTCCTCCCAGTGTTAGGGATCGAGAAACTAGTGATGCAACGAGTCAGGAATTCCACCTACTTTTTCTCGTTTCTTTTCTAGAGCAGAGTGATTCATCGATCGCGGAGGAGCGACGATCTCTCGCGAGGTCCAGCTCGCTCGATCGTTACTAAATTCGGTTAGCTAGCTGCTAACGAAGCGATAAATCAATTAGCTCGTTAATCGGTCTCGTTGGTACGCCGGGCAACAACCGTGCACTGGGTTTGACTCTCGCGGCGCGATCGCGCGTTGATCATTTTAATCGGGCACGAGCCGATTTTCGGAAGCTCGATAATTAATTGGCCCCAATAACGCGCTCGTTAAATCGTTTGACGGAATAATCTCGTTTATCGAGTCACTCTTTTACCGCGTTCCACGGCTTGTCGGAGTTAATTGAATCGCGACGGATAATCGACGCAACGCGGCCGCCATTTTTTGGGGGCGTCTGATTCCGGTTCATTAAACAATTAAATAGGCTCGTTCAATTATTATAAACGATACACACACAAATTGGTTGCGTCTCCTAACTTGTGTACTCCAAAAGTATCCGCAAAAAAGTGTTTAATATAAAAATTTTGAGTAGAACTTGCTGAAATGGTTTCCTTTCTAATAATCGGTCCATGTACAAGCTATGTTAAGGGGAAGTTGAATTTTTTTTTCGAATATCACAAATATCTGAGTAATTAAAATATCTAAAATTAATTCTCAAATTTTAATGAATTCTCAATATCGAATGTTAAATAAAATAAATCTGGGTAGAATATCGTTGGTTTTGCAGTTTCCGATCGTTCGAAAACACAGTCGAAACGTTAGGGTTGAAACGATTTAACAAATAGAAACGGTTCCCCGAGTTTCAGAATTGAATTAATTGGGAAAAACGAAGAGGGGGCGAAGGGGTGGGCGGGAAGCGGGAAAAGAGGGTTTGTTCGACGGGCGTGCAAGCGTATCGTGAGACACAAAGCCGTTAACAAAGCGCGCCGCGTACAGCGCGATTACATCGGCATGCCGCATTTAAATCTCGTGAAGGAATTAGTCTCGTAGACGCCGTTGATTGACGCCAATTGATAGTTGCGCGGTATGCGTCAGCCTATCCCGCTCCACGGCCTTAATTCTATGGCGTTTCACACACTGACACCGTCCGATGGCCGAACCGACCGACTGAAATAGGACGTTCCTGATTTTAGACCCACTGCAACAAAGGGGAGGATCAGACGCTCTTGACGTTGTTTCTGGACACGAGGTTCGACAACCTCTCGCCGTTGGACCGAGTCAATACCATCGATAATCTCGCTGGATTCTTGGGACTTCACGTGGTAAAGTATCCTCGAACGATCTTCTTTACAACCCACTCGGTCGCTACAGCCTCGCTGACTCTAACGATTTTTGCCTCCCGCCATTTAAAATGCGCTCCCTTGTCTCAGAAAATGGGCAATCTAAAGAATTTCTCTTTTTTTAAATTGGTACTGTTGAGAATAACCATTGCATGCATGCAGTCTCCACCCTTGCAAAGGTCAGTAATACCTGAGGAGAACACATGTTTATTGCACTCCCTTTTTCGAGCCTCAAAGTTAGCAGAAACCCGTCAAGCTAAGAACAGCATTTTCGGTTTGTAAAACTACATTAATCAAATACATATCGTCCTTCCACGAGAAGAGGGCATAGCGTGTTTACATCCCCACTCTTGCTGCAGTCCGCTGACAGCAACAGGAATGGGGATATAAACACGTTGTGCCTTCTTCTCGCGGAAGAATAGTACTCAGGTCGAAACTCTGTCGTATTTATTTAGCAAATAGATATTCAACAGGTATATCTACCAAGGCATTACATGAATTTAATAATATTCCTGTGCTCCAGTAGCCAGTGACAATTACAAACACAGACGAAAATGGCATTCTTCCTACAAGATGCAGAACACACGGCGCAATTTAAATTTGCCTAATAAAATCTGTTTCTATCTCCGTGGAACGCTTGAAAGAGTCGTTCTGTGGAAATGCAAATGTCAAGCCGCTTGATTCTGTAAAGTTTAATGGTTCGTCGTGGCCCCGCTATCAACGCGATATCAAAATGCAAAAAACCCAAACTACGTCCGCTAATAATAATAGCCCGTTGCTTGTTTTTAATTTCCGCCCGATGGAATGTTCGCGCGGAGGAAACCCTCGCGCGCGAATGACTCACGGGGAAAAGGATGTCGAGAATAACGCGTTTCCTTCTCTCCCCGGCGCCGCGATTAAATTAATTAAGAATTCCCTCGGTACCGGTGAAAGAAAGAAAAAAAAAAGTAGAAGGAAGACCGTTCTCAAAGGCGTCCAATTTATGCCCGCTGTAACGAAAAGGAGCCTCCACGCTGGGATACTTTTTAAGTTGAAAATTTTCCGCATTATGTCGGAGCTCGCGATGCATCCTCTGTGTCGGGGGGCGCGTAGCAGCGGGCCTCTTTGGCGTCGTAAAGTTCTTCCTTCTCGTAAAGAAGCCCACGCGCGCCCTGCCCGGGGAGAACTTTATCAAATATTCTTCGTTCGAGTCGGCACCACTTTGCGCGCGCACGCGAAATTAGGCCGCCTCCGCGAGCCTCTTTAGAGCAATCTCTCGTATTTCGCCAATTAAACTTCTTGGTTCACAGTTATCAACGCATCGAAACGGGACGCGAACGTTTGCCTCGCGCCATTTTGTTCCTTCCATCGTCCTGTGTTCCAGGACATTTTTAAAGCTTCAATTTTCAATATGATAATTTTTCTAAATTTTTATACCCCACACGAACTAAAAACAGTGAAAGAAAATAAAAATAACGGATGAAATTTAGCAATTTTAATTTAAAAGTTATTTATTATTTCTCAAATACAGCAGTTGCCAAATGGTCACCCTGTAATTTTGAACGTAATATCTTGTATATTTCTAGAGCCAGTTCTATCTCGCAGAAAAGTTTTTTGCCCTTTGTATGAAAAAATGAGGGAAGTAAAAGCTAAGTGGTGCAACGAGGTCTACCTTTCTTTGACCGTGCTTTTCGTAAGTGCATTGATGCACCTCCGGGCTGCGCGTGCAGTATTTTTTTAAAAAAGGAACCGTGTTTTCTTATTAGGTATACACATTCTGCAACTAGGCAAAAACGTTGAAGAAATTAGTACTTCATAAAATATCCTTAATTTCTTCATCGAGGTAAATTATTTGCTATTTTTTAACGAATGAAATAAGATGTAAATCCATCGCTATATGGATTTTATATTTTTCGTAACCATTTCCCGTGAAAATTATTTAATTTTAACTGTATTTTATAATATTGAGAAACTCATGAACAAATCTCGCGTTGATAAACTAGTTTTACCAATTGTCGGAAACAAAGCTTCATACCGCGATCACGGTTGAAATTGCATTCCCGGAAAATTCATTCCATCCGTATAATTAATTCGGTTACGATGATTTAATTTTCGCCATCGAGTTGATGGAATTACATTCCGCGGAATCGCTGTAAATATTTTTTCCATCCCGTTCGCTGAATTTCTCTCGCCAGTGTAATCGAAAATCTGTATAATACAATTAATACAATTAACAATATATTATACAATAAAACAGATTACAATCAAATTGATTTTTGATTACCATGTAGTTTTCGATATAGTTTACGATGCCCTGAGAATTACACATGAAATATTATTACCGTACAAAGTTATTAACGGCGTTTGAAATTTGATACACGATCCAAAGTTATATCCCCGTAGGATTAGGGTTAATCGAAGTCAGTGGAGAACCAGAATTTCCTCGTATACTATTCATAAAACCCGTCACTTCGGCCATTGATCCATTTTCGTCGATTTGAATTTCAGAGCGCGTTTTCCATGCACCCTCAAAGCGCCAAAGAGAACTTGAACATGGACAGCTCGGTGATCCTCAGCGGACCTGGAAACGCGAAACATCGTAAAGAGAAACACCTCACCGCGGTACAGTGGCAGGTGAATCTTCTGAATTATTATTCGACCCCTTAGAGTACTCTAATTGGCACCACAAATGCGGTGGACAACAACAACGGAACAAACGGTTAACAAACGGAACACAAAGATTTCCGCACGGGGAGGGATGTAATAACCATTCAAACCCAAGAATTCATTATTTATTATATTTTAACGTAACTACTATTCACAAACGTAGAAGAGAACTTGTCGTTGTCGATGAAAAAGGTTGTTTTAAATAACCGTATTTTATTTAAAATATAGTATCTGCAATTTTTCCATATACAGTTTGATATACAGACTTTCTATCCACGTATGATCGTTTTAGTACTGTTTTTATAAATTTGGGTAAACCTATGATACACCAGAAATGTCTGAAGGGCTCGAAATAGTCACAAATTTGGTATTTGTAAATTCGTAACAGGTCGGTTGCGATGATCATTTGTGGAGACATCAGACGGATTTGGTGAAGCGATTGCGGGATCAAGCGAGGGACGGAACACTGGCCGAGGTTATGCAACATCCGGTCTTACTGTGGCGCGTGAAGACGGATATGAGCCCCTTGTCGAGGAATCGCAGGGACGTTGGTTCCGGAAACTTCGAATACGACGAATACGACGAGGATTACAACGACGAGTACGATGATGACGAGAAGGACAGCGAGGACGACGAAGACTCGCAGGTGCAACCAACGTTTGTGCCAGAGACGAACTCTCCCAGGGAAAGCCTAGGATCGGAACATCCTCACAGGCACCATCACGGGGAAGAGTCTATCAATTGGAATGTAAGTTCAGAAGTCCTCGTAAAAGAAAAATATTTTTTACAGGCGAAGGTGAACCACGGTTCCTGTAAACTAGTTATCATTCTCGTAAAAAATATATTTACTTGTTCCCAGACGGAGGAGATCGAGGAAATGATTCCAATGGTGAACCAGACGAACGTATCGGAGAACGCTGTGAACAGAACGACCACGGACACGTCCTCCGGCGTAAGTATCGGGCCTGTAATCGTCCAATCGTGTGATGTCAGATCACCGACTTCGTGTTCCGATTGGAAATACCGTACAGCTATAAACAGGCTTTCGTTGAGATTCTTATTTCTGTCTTTCATTCGCATACGCAAATCGCTTGAAGGGAGTCATTGCGCTTAAAATACTTAGTGTAGCTGTGGGTACTGCGTGTTTAATGCCGGCCTATGCCAATCCCGCGCCGTTTTAGACGGTATCGATCGATGTATAGAAAGCGCCCGTACGCCAAACATACATTTTCAAAGGAAACGAAAGCCCGAGAGACCGACGAGCTCCATCGCTGTACATCTTCTACTTCGCTCTACCCTTCATAATGTAACTAACCAAGTTTCTCGTGCCGTACAACGCATCTACTAACGATTTCGCAGACAACAACCACTGAACTTACATCACCACCATCAACCACCCCAACAACAACCACCGTCATGACGTTTACCTCAACAACAACCTCGACAACCACCACCCAACAACCACCGTCAACGGCCACTGGTACCACCACCACTAGCACAACAACGACTACCACAATAGCCGATACAACAACAACAACTAGCGTACCGACCACCATTGCACCGACGACAGAACCATCGCGGCCAGAGACCACCGAGGAGTGGATGGAGAACACCAGACACGAGAACGAATCTATAAACGTCTCGTCCGCCATTATTCCAGAAACCACCACCACCACCATCCTCCCTTCGGTAATCGTTCCTCATTCTAGCACAGTTGGAACGCCCACGACCGTCGTCGAGAGGACGGAGACGGACGTCAACGGTGGTACCGTGAATACCACCACGGAGGAGGTAATGCTTCAGTGCTTCGTGCTTCTCATTTGTATTATAGTCCATGCTGCGCATATAGTCGATTCCACGAGTCTCTCGCTTTGCCAACGGATAGGTCGTTACGAACCCGAAACCATCTTCGTTTGTAAACTAACAATTAACGCTAGCTTCTACGATCGTCAGCACCAAACGTCGACAAACTGGCATCTGACCAACTGGATGTCGGTTTGAAAAATCTGTGAGTTAGTTTACGAACGGATCAAAAATGTTCATTCGTCGCTCGCGAATTAATTTCCCCCCAAAAACCCTGTTCCCTTGCGTCACGACCACAGACCCACCGAGATCTCGTTCAACCGATTACTTCCCGGTGGTAAGACGTCTTCTTTCTGCCTTCAGCCAACGGAACATTCGTCAGTGCCCATGATGAATCAGACCACTACTACTCAAGTACCCGTCACAACACTCTCACACAACATGACAACTTTCGTGCCCACGATTACCAGTACACAAGCAACAACACTTGTGAAGAACATCACCACAACACCCATGACAACGCCCACACAAATGCGAACACTACCACCTACCACATCCACCACCGACACGTACATTGAAATGACTCCAACCATCGTCAACACAACAACATCCAGCACCACCATCAGTATGACCGTCAGCACTCCGACAACGACCAACGCGACCGTCGAACCACCCAGAGTGAACACGGTGACCGTGGAGTACAAGCCTCAAAACTTCCCGCCGAGACAGGACAGAAGATTGAAGAAGATACCGGTGACCGCTGGAAAACCATTGAGCTACGTCATACCATCCAACACGTTCAGCGACCTCGAGGATGGGGACACCAGGAGTCTGAGGCTGAACTTGTACTTACAAGGAGCGCCTCTAAAGAGCACCCATTGGCTTCAATTCAATCAGAACACGCAGGAAGTTTATGGACTGTAAGTTCCCTTTGACGTTTGGAAGTTTGGAAGCTGTTTCGCTAAATTAGTTAATTTGATTTGGTTGCTTAATTGAGGAGTGATGCAATAACAGAAAAATAGCTACTTCCCATCCAGTATCCCAAAGATGTTAAACAAACATACAGAGACACAGACGTTCGCTTTATAGCATCGAATCTCTCAGTATAGAGTGACTAGGTTCTAACTCGTTGCTCTGTCAACAGCCCATTGGAGAACGACATATCAACCTGGACGTACGAATTGGTCGCCGCTGATACCGAAGGCCTGAACGTGACCGATAGGCTGGACATTCACGTGCAACAGCACAAGCTCAGTCGCAGCGTGAATCACGAGTTTAGTATTTACCTGAGGATCGAGAAACGTACAGATTTTCCCACCGACGTGGACTGGGAACTGAAGGTACGTGTTCATCCCTTTCTTTAAATCTGCGATTTGACCCTTTGGGACGCTCTTTTTGAGTGCACCTGATGATTAAGTATCTTAATAGCGTTTAAGATGAATTATTTATCGCAGGTGATTCGAAGTATAGCCGAAGTGTACGGAGATAGCGATACCAGACACATTACCGTTCGATCGGTGGACATCGATCGCGAGCAAGCTATTTTCACTTGGACCAACGATAGTTTGCCAAGGAGCAGCGAGTGTCCCAAGGAATATATCGACAACCTGTTGAACGTAAGTATCTCTACGCTACTGGGAACATTGGTTTTTCCGACGATCTAACCGGGAAACGTTTAGGTGCTGATCGACAGAACCGGTGATCCTAGCGCAGCGTTGAGGACCGTTCTTCAACCCGAGATCAGGGTGAAGAGAGTGATCTACCAGGGTATTGGACAGTGCGAAGACATAGGTCGTCCAGAGCCGCCTAAAGTTTCCACTCAGGAGCCTAAGTCCAACTTCCCGCCAGTACCGAGGAATCAAGTGGACCTGGTTAACGCTACCGTTGGGCAGCTTCTCGTGTTCAAAGTGCCGGAGGTATGTTCGCAAAAGAAATAAACAATTAGGGATCGAGAAACATCAGCTCCTCATCGATCGTTTTAGGATACCTTCTACGACGCTGAGGACGGTTCTGCACGAAACATGCGGATGTCTCTTTTGACTATCGACCGCACGCCTATCCCACCCCACGAGTGGTTGCAGTTCGATGGCAAGAACCAGGAGTTCTATGGCGTCCCTATGCGCAGTGATGTTGGACGCAAGGAGTACCAACTGGTTGTCACCGATAAAGATGGTAATTTTTCAGAATTAGCGATTCGTAATTAGAACTGGAACTTCTCTGTATTCATAATACTCATAAGTTAGATTAATTTTGCCTCGTGCTTTAGAGATGTACCCAGTTATGTGGGACTCCAAACAAATGCAATTTCATTGTTGCAGACGCGAGTGCCACGGATGGCCTAGTCGTAGTCGTCCATCCAGCGCCCCTCGTGCACCATACGGTCGAGTTCTCGATGACCTTGGACATCCCATACGAGTCCTTCGCGCACTCCGCCCTGCAGAAGCGTAACTTCATCGAGAAGTTGCGCGATCTCTACCAAGACAGAGACACCTCCGCCATATCGTTGCACAGTATATCGAACGGTAGTACGGTGATCACGTGGCACAATAGAACCCTTCCCACGTCGTACTGCGCGCACGAGGAGGTGACCAGACTACGAGCTGTCCTGGTGAACGATAACGATCGTCGATCGGTGACGGACGAGGTCCTGGACATCATGGGCCAGAAGTTCCCCGTTAAACAGATCACGGTGGTCCCGATGGGCATCTGCGTGGGCGAAGTACCACCCCACGTTCACTCGCCGGATAACAACGTTCCACCCGTGGACGATTCCACCTCGGTCGGGGCATTCCACGACGACTATCTGATCACATTCGTTCTGCCCGCTATAATCATAGCCGCGATGCTCATTCTGGCGGGCATAATCGCCTGCGTGCTCTACAGACGAAGACGTAGCGGGAAGATGAGCGTCAGCGAGCAAGACGACGAGAGACAGAGCTTCCGCAGTAAAGGGATACCGGTGATCTTCCAGGACGAACTGGATGAGAAGCCAGACCCAGGTATTGATGAATCATTTTTCATTTGTGTTGATTTTTAACTATTGTGTTTGTCGGAAAGTAATTTCGTTTTTTTTCTTCGTGAAGAGGAGCAATTTTCTTATGATACATAAATATTTTACTGAATTATATACTGATCATTTTGATTCAATACCTTGGGTCATTGTCTTGGTAGTAGCATGATTCCATTGTTCATAAAATTTTGTATGTTTATTTAGAAAAAACTGATCCAAGTGATTTTTGACATTGTCACTTTAAGTAGATTTATGGATAGTTTGGTGTAAAACTGAAGATACTCTCCTTTCGTCTTTGCTATACATATATTTCCTATTTACAATCGGTCAAATGTGCTCGTGATTAGAATAATTATGAAAGATTATACTCTACGAAATCTATATGACACATTCTCAAATACTTTCGTGAGCTACAGTATAATTCTCATTGACTTGTTGATCTTCCAAAAGCATACAAATTAAAATTCTCCTTCCTTCTGTTTGTTACAGGTAACAAGTCGCCGGTCATTTTGAAGGAAGAGAAACCACCCTTACCACCCCCCGAATATCAGAAAACCGAGGACGGAGCGGACGTGCCGATGTTGCCAAAGGAGAATTCAGAGGAACCGTACCAGCCGCCGCCGCCATTCGCCACGAACCGCGACACCAATCGTCAGAATCGTCCCAAACCTACCCCAACGTACAGGAAACCCCCTCCTTACGTACCCCCCTAACAAAATACGGTCCATTCGCCCACGCGCAAATATATGCTAGCGATGCTCGGAGACTCCCCAATACACACGCAAAACCAAAACAATTATCAGAAGAAACCTCAGCTCGCCGTTGACCTCGACGGCTGTGGATCTCTGAACGTATACAGCAATCTCTAAGGCTTTCGTTCGTCCGGTATGATCGGTACATCGTAGATGAAAAGATATTCACGTTGAGAGAAAATCGCGCGCCGCACTTTTTACTTATTTTTTACGATAACCACGTAAACGTGTTGAACAACGCTCGTTCGTTGCCGTTGAATCGCGGTAATACGTAATTTAAGAGAGATCCAGTCAACGAGATTCTCGATATTTCATTTTTATTGCGTTTTCTTTTTTTTCTTTTTTTTTATATATATATATATATATATACATATATATAGATTTTGTTTAAATCGATGTACTCTATCGACCGTCTGTATTTCACGGGAAACTTTTCTAGGGAATATGGGATACAAATCACGCGTTGCCTTTCGTAACGAATTCAAACTGTAGAAGTGAAGGAAGGATTCACTGCTCCGACCTGGTTCAGCGGATTTTAGGTTTTAGGTTTACCGGTAGAACCGAACACACATCGATCGTTACGGCGAAGTATTTGATTCGGTGTGGGCAGACTCGGGGACAGCAACGATACTCGTAAAATATTTCAGTAATCAGTGCCATTTTTGTAAGCAATAAGGGTATCCTGCTGCGAGGGCGAACCACGCGTAGAACGGTTCTACGACTTGACGCAGTTTACTGTTAAACGGTCTCCAAGTATCAAGGACTATCGACTTAACGAATCTTCTTATCGTACAACGTACCTACAACGTGTAAAACACTGCCAGATGATTAAAAAGAAAAGAAAGAAAGAGAAATTTGAGAAGCAACCGTAACTCGTCGTCGGACGGTGGCAGCTTCTCGCCGTTTGTGCAACAATTCTTTTTTTTTTTTTGTTTTTTTATGTACCGTCTGAACGAGAGGAAACACAGAGGAACGAGTAATTCGATCGAGATCGGGCCCGTCCGACGATCGGTTATCGATTCGTGGAATTAATGTTAGAAAGAACTGAGAATTTTTTTAAAAAACTTAATCGAATATATCTGTTCGTGCGATGCCATTGCAAAGTGACAGCAAAATGCTTCCATTGGCACTGTAGGCCATGCAGAATAAAAGAAAAAAAAAAAAAGGAAAACTAATGATAATATATATATATACAAATATATATAAATATGTATATTACCTAATTGTCGTTCGATAGACAGTCTGCAGTCACTTAGGTCAATGTTGTTCAAATGCTGCCAGATCCATGTCAATAGCATTTACGTTTTCTTCATTTATTTTTCGTTTTACTGCATACCGTGACATTTGTACAGAGGAAGCTTTCTGTTCGTTTTTTACGCACAATCCGACGTTTCGTTTGATCATTTAGCAACGCCTTCTGACTATTGTCTGTGAAACGTTGCATTCGACTATCGTTTTACGATGAAAAAAAAAAGCCTTTTACGAATTTTTAAGGTGTATCACAAAACATGTTTTAAAAGCCTGTCTGAAACGTTGAAGACGAAAGCTATTTAATTTAAACGTTACATAGTTACCAAGCCAAAAGATACTTATTTAAAAAAAAAAAAAAAAAAAGTGAAAAATGGGGGAAAAAGATGAACAAAAGGGGGGGTGGATAAGGTAATAAGAACCCGTTTAATAATGTATACAAAAGAGCGTGACCCGTACCCTTTGCGCAGGGCGCATATATACACGTTTTATAAATGATTTTGTATAATCTCTCCAACTGCTCTGTTGCAAGATTTTTACGTAATTTGAAGAAGTGCGTTTTCTGGGTACGATACGGGTATGTACGCCGTTTCTTCAATACCTCGATGGTTTCCTGATATTTTTTAAAAGGGAAATGTGAGACAAAAGAAAGAATTAAAAAAAAAAAAAAAAGAAAAAAAAAAAGAAATATCTTTCGCCCGCCTCGAATTTGAAGGGTCCGTTCACATCCGCGCGCGCGAGGACGGTCGACGAATCCGCAAATTTGGGGTCACTCCTATAAACTCGTGTGAATGATGATGATGATGATGCTAATTGTGTATGTAGAATGATAAACGGACGTTTCGTATGCAAGCTAAATTACGATATAATATATTACTATTAATTCACGTCTTTATAATGTAGAAGATTTAAGTATATTTACGCGACAAATCCTTTCTCATCGCGTCTTGTTTATCGCAGCGTGAACTCAACGAAAGACACTTGATCCATGAAACGAAAGCGTTACGTTGATCTGTAATAAATACAGAATGGGTTGTAATTCGAGGTGAAACCGTACAGACAGCGATTCTACCATCGAAATTGCGAAATAAATATTTGCCCGTGGCGAGCCTCGCTCCAGAGAAAAACAAGCTTAAAAATTCGTATTAAAAAACATCCGTCTTCGAATATCTTATCTCTCCGTCTAACAGTTACATCGTTTGACAATAATACAACGGATTATTTTACTTTATTTGTTCGTTCGAGCATATAGCAATTTGTGGTTTCATCGCCATTTTTAATCCCTCGTCGTTTCTTGGCTCTGCCCACTACATTTTATCCGAACAATAAACTATAATACTTTTGCACGCCAACTATCGTAGTGGGGGAGGATTTTCTCGAGAACGAAGCATCGTAGAAAAGACTATCACCAAAACGTTTTCAATCGTTCCATCTTTGTTTGCGCCTCGAATTACGCCTCACTTCCGTGTACTCGACTTGTAGCGATACCTCGGAATATTTTCTATTTTTGTATAACGTTTTAGCGTACCCCCCCCCCTCCCCTCCACAAGGAAATTGAAGGGTCACGGGTCATGGGGGTGGCCGCGTCCGAGCTCCAACTAACGTCGGTACCTTTTTTTATACGAAAAGCTCGGGTCGCGGGCGACCCCCGGACGCCACGCGACGACTACGAAAAATTGGGGCATCCCTTTGTACCCTGGTCTAGCCGCTGCGATAAACAAGGACACATCATATCATGCTTCTAATCATATCATCGCTCTAACGCGTAACTCTCGACCGCTGCAATTGTGTTACTGTGACAAAACGAACAAAACGAAAAAAAGAAACAGAATAACGACAATTATGTATGATAAACGTGTACGATATTTAATAAGACGGGGGACGCAAAACGTGTAAAGACGGGAAGTCGAAGGGCGGCGGGAGGCGAACAAAAAAAAAATGGTGTCTTTTCGGGGCGAAGAGGAGGCGGGAACTTTCGTTTGGCCCGTGAGAGAGTTGTTCGAAAGTATTTTGTACAAAAGAGAGGAAGATAAAATGAGAGAAAGATGGAGAGAACGAACGACTAGATAGAATGGAAGAGAACGTTCGAGCCGATTCCCGATGAAAGCAAACGAAAATGTTCCACGCGAATGGGGTGGGGGAGGGGGAGGGATACGATTGCGGCGTCGCGCATAGGAATTTCTTGTACACACAACGCTATACATAAGAATACATATTGACTGGGAATTTCGAATTATTTTTGTCCGCTGTAGCGCTTCGACGAGATCGGATGAAGGGAGTTGCTCGTTCGACTCGACCGAAAATGGACGCCTCGGTTGCGATCATCCTCGAGTGGTCACGTCGATTACGAACGAAGGAATATTGAAGTAATAACACACGTATACAGATATCTCTGACAAGTACTACATATTAAACATGTGTAAAGTTAAGGAGTTAATAAAGTCATTTTAGGATATCCGGCGTTCGTTTTCAAACGCGAATGGAACGCATCGCGTGGCTTTGCAAGAAGTTTATTGGGCGTCAATTCTCATTTTATCCCAAATCTTGCATCTTTGTTACAGTGATGCTGGAGTTGAGTCAGTAACGTCGCCATCTTTGTATTTTCTTTAGAAAGTGTTAAACAATGTAAAATAATGTCGTTGGGCCATACTATTGCTTTAAAACCACAATTGATACATATCGAGGACAAGATTAAATCAGACTTGGAGAATGTATTATAAATAATGAATATGTAGCTTCAGAGTTATGCTGGGTTATAGAGGGTTGCTTTAATGTCTAGATCACACTGGACCATCGATATTATTTTGAACCCCAATTTGCTTTACTTGCTATCTTTTAACACATTGATGAACATTATCTAAGCTTGATGCACCTGTCACCAGTGGTCACCATGACAGTCAACGTGATGATGGTTCCATTAGATATCAATTAAATCTTTTAGGAACGTGTGAAAAAGTCATTTAAGGTGACTAGTCTGATATTGAATTATCACTTTGTTTTGGATTTTCAATTTTCTTCATTCATTTCTGTTTTAGGTACTATCAGAGCCAAAATCTTATCTTTGTCAAGTATTCAAGATAATTTTTAGCAACTGTATATCCCCAAAATGAAACACAATGTTATTTTTACGTTTTACAGATCTATGATCTGAAAAGTCTAACGTCCACATGCGATTAATTTTTTTTAAAGTCATCGATAATTAGACTGTCGATGGAATTAATCGAAGAATACAATGTCCCTGTTGAAATTAAAGTTGCAGCGTCATTGGAACTCGCAGACGACACGCAACGAGTGTTTCTTCCCTTTTGTAGACCAGTTGGAACAAGGTACGTACACGTGCGCGTTTCGTGATGAAAAAGTTTGCATCTGGCGTTGCACTCGGGGCGATCGTTTACGTAAACGATTGACAATGACTTAACGAGGATTAATTAGATTGGACCTGGTAAAGAATTCTCGCGACAGATCGTTACCGTGGCCTCGCTTTTGACATTGACGCCATGTTTTCGCAGACGTGTGTTATTCTTCGACACCGAATGGATTCTGTAGATCCATTTTACGATCGAACGCGCTGCACTCGAACGAGAAAATGGATCCCGGTTCTTCGTGTACGTTAACGATCGGCCCATCAAAACGCAATAAAATCGAGAAAACGGTTATGCGGTTACGTCGCTGGAAATAATCGATTGCAACATCGATAGACGAGATTCAAAGTCAGAAAACGATCAAGGAAGATGCAACTGAAAATTTACTATTTGCTTTATTCGTGAAGGCAGAGAAGAGTTTCAATATTGACACAAGAAATCAAACATAGACAATAATGCATTTTTAATTCTCATCTTCGCTTTTTAAATTCAATATTCGATAAGAAATTATTCGAAAGGAAAAAATTCAACGTGAAAATTTTAAGATCTATTATTGAAGATGACAGAAAAA